GGTGGAGCTTTGGTAGGTGTGTTCTACAAATTTAAGCAGGTGCAGGTTCTCTGTTTATAGTGCAGAGTCCCATATTTAAATGTAACATTTCCTGAGCTTTTGAAAAAGCTGCCCCGTGATCTCACATGTGTGTCATGAAGAAGTGTTTGATTATTGAATACTGATGTTGATATCTTTGTAAAATTCATTTGTGATACTGATGTTGATATCTTTGTAAAATTCATTTGTGATTTTCAGAAAAGAAATAAATAACTTGTTCATTTAGGAGTCCCTGAAATTCAAATACTGACTCAGTAGGAGACCATTTTTCACTGCTTTTAATTTTGCACTTCATTTGCTTTTATTTTTCTTCCATTACCCATTGACCCATTGACCTTTAGCTGACTGTAGCAGACTCTACAGACACTGATGCTTCAAATTTTCTGGAACAAAGTATGCCCACCTCTAGTGGAAATTACACTTAGGTTAGCCTGAAGTAAAGGGGTACAAAGGATGGTGAGAACATCCAGAATCCACATGCAGGTGTACAGGATGTAAATGCCACCCTGATAGTAGGCGGTGTCAGATTAATCACACCATGTCTAGTCAGGCAAGCAGCCACACTGAAAACATCAAACAGTGCACATTTTTCTCAAGAGGCCCTTTGTGGCTGATACACATCCATTGGTGTTTCTCGGATCCAAGCATCGTCTACCTACTTGAATGACACCATAACAGTTTATATGCCATAACCATGATCCTTCCCAGACATTAACATTCTGCTGTTGTGATGCACATTATTGTATAACAACAGCAGCAAAATTCAAAACTGCCAACTATAAGAAACACATGCGTGACTTGGAGCTCAAAAGCATCTTGTAGCTTGTATATAGCAAGTTGCTTTTTTTTTAAGGAGGGCCATGTCCCAGCTGCTCTGTCACCTGCCACGATGACAGAGCAGGGCTGCAGCATTTAAATAACATCACAAACAATTAAATGAGACAGTACTTGTTTTTAATGGTAGCGTCCCCGGCTAATAGATGGTCTGACTGATGGTTCACAGACACTTCATTAGAGTGTTGTTTATTAGAACATTCTAGAGATTATGCCAAGGAATGCCATTTAAATTCAGTGGGACAGGAACCTTTGACCTTCAGCACCATAATTAAACTTTTTGGGACAAGGCTGATGTTACTCTGTACTTTTCTGTCAACAAAAAGTCCAGCAGAATGTTCGCTCATTTCTTCAGCACGATAGGCAGTAAAACATTAGTGATTAAATCATTTCTGTAGTCGAGAATCGAAGAATGGTTTCCTAACCACTGACTTTCAGTGGTTGTATAGTATCTGTTCTAGGTACCCTCGATGTCATTACAGCTGGGAACAGAACATCTGTCAGAATATTGTGTGCAACGTGTTTTAGAGGAGAATTTGCCTGTGACAGAGCAGTTAGGACATTGCTGCCATCCTGTGACTCACTGGAATCACAACACAAGGCTGTGTTCTGTGAACACACATCAGGTGCAGACCCCTGACTTACATTGTTCCCTTTCATGTAACAACAGCTGCAGTACTTGTTTCCTGGTTTGAAACAGTTATGATGTAAAGTCTTGTATATTGTAATTTGTGGTATTTTAATTGCACTCCACTTTACACCCTTGATTTAGGGCTTATTATTAATGATTTATATTTTTTGATAACTAGCCAAATACCGTTTTGAACAAATTGTCATGGCACAGCAGCAGTAAGTGGATTAATAACTACGATGTTATCGTTACAACACGTCTTCTGCTGCAACTGCATCCAGTTCCTACTCAGCCACAATTAAAGGGCCGTGCAGTTGTAAGAACGTAAACATTGTAGGTCAGATTTTAAATGAAACAATGATTTTGACATTAAAATGCTAAGTTCCAAAGGTGTTAAAGGATGCCCACACCAGTTTTGAATAGAAAAGATTGTTTAAATTAAATCAACTATGCTGGAGCACAGAGCAACACAACAAAAATGTGCCACCATCATACACATTGTGATGGTACAGTACGTTATGCGTGACTGAAAGTGAAAGGTAAAGTTGAACAGAAAATATTATACTTAAAAGCTCTTTAATATAATTTTATGGCTGTAAAACTGTAGAAGCAGAAACTGTCTTAAAAACCTGGTGGTTGCTTTATTTACATTTTTACACCAAAAACACAGTCGACTCTTCTGCATCATGTCACATTTCACATTCATATCTCACTGCTGATATCAAGTGTTATGAAATCTCATAGGTTAAAAGTCTAGTTACTTTGCTATGAAACCATGATTTTCGGAAAAAATAAGAACGGCCACAGACGTTTCCTGTGCTAATGTTGCAATCTTATCTCAATCACGTGTTGTAAAACAGCATTGTTTGCTACTTGACTACTTACATCGTACATTCAGCTCTGCGCCATGTTTGGTACCAAACACACAGAATACAGCAATGCACTCAAGTGGTACTTACATACTTGAAAAGTATTCTGTGTTCATTTCATGCAGAGTAATCTGCTATTTCAACTATCAGCTTAAACCTAAAAACCCTGTAAATATTTTTAATATCCTTAAAATTATATCTATATTAGGACTTCTATTAATATATGGAGCAAAGAAATGGTTGTGGACATTTTAAAGCACTCGCATAACACCACCTCAGAAGTGGTCTCTGTTATGTTCATCTGCCTTATAAACTCCTGGCATGCAGCCTATTCTGTAAATTAGAGCATCAACTGAAGGTACGTAAAGACTCACAGTGTACAATATTTCAACAGATAAACATCAAGAGAACATCCTTTTCTCAAGACTTCCTTCATTGTACAAATGGTGTATGAAACAATGCTTTCCTGAGAAATATGTCAATGGTTCAAGGCAGTTGTGCTTTTTATTATTATCAGGACCATAATGTCTTCATTTGAAAATAAGAGGACTAAAGGCATGCGATTTTATTTAGTTAGTAATCACAGCCCCATTGTCTTCTATGAATAGCCATGAATATGAATAGCCAAAATGCCATGAGTGTTTGTCTGAAGCCCAGTGACTCAGACCCACAAGGCTGGGCCATGAGGAAGCTACTCTGCTTCCTCTCCCTCACCACAGAACTTGTTTTGAGCAAAGAAAGGTTGTGGACAATTTAAAAAGAAGAAGAAGAGGAAGAATTACAGGACTGTTGCAGATATTTAAATCATTTTCAACAGCATTTAACGACTCTTCATATTCCACACGCAGGAGCTTATTTCTTGCTCTGCTGCATTAAGGGGGGGCGGGGGTGGATCAACACTAAGCACATTAATTCTGAGAAATCTGTGGATTGATTGGAAAAATCAAATGTGCACATATGCACACGCTACCTGCGGCTTCACAGGTTATATGCTGTAGGAGAAAACAAAAGGTGGGGGGAATTAAAGGTGTGAACACCCACAGAATTGCGGCTGGTACATGGAACCTAAATCATGTGAACAGAAACCTCCTGATACAAATATTTTTGGCTACCCTTTTTTTTATACAGTAACAAGTAACGTAAAGTGTAACTAGTCACATTTCGAAGTCTTTTTTTTGACTGTAATATATTGAGGTTTGACCACATATTACATCTGAAATACTCTGATCTCTCACTTAAAAGAACATTTGTGTTTTCACTGTGTGCTTCTACTCCTGCACCTTATACAGCAGCATAGAATATGTTCACAAAGGCCTTTTGAAACTGTGACATTACTGTGCACTCACCACAGGAAGCCACTGGTGACTTGGGGCATAACTGTTGGAAGAACTACTCAGATCCTTGTAGTAAATGTAGTGATAACAAGTCCTGCATTCTAAATGATACTTATGTAAAAGTGCAATCAGCAAAATATGTAAAATAAAGAGACGCACTCAGTTTGTAAAACGACTAGTGCCCTGCAGTTGGTATGGAGTTCATTTTAATTACTTTATATACTGCTGAAGTAGTTTGAAATTTCTCCTCATTTTAATCTATAAAACTGTAAATGTCACACTTTTAATAATCAGATTAACAGAAAGCATCAGCAAATAAATGTACTACCTATAGCTGTCAGATAAATGTATAAATATAGTTTTAAAAAGTTGCATAGCATGATATTCAAATACAGTACATGGTCAGAAAAGTAACTGGCTACTTTCTACCACAACATGCTCAAGTGCTTGAAAAGAAATTACTGGAGAAAATGAGTCATAAGTGTATCTGAAAATGCTTCTGAGCTCAAAACAAAAAGGTGTTTCTGGACCAAAGAGGAAGCTCCTGATTTTGATACAACTCATTTGCCTACAAATGCAAACTGTAAAGTTATGAACTAACTGGGGATTATCCGAGAGAACAATGGTGTAGCTGTACCACAATAACAAAAAAAAAGGTCATGGTAAAATGAATCTCTACAACCAGCTCAAAAAAAAAAAGAAATCTCAGGGCGGTCTCATGCAGGCAGCTGAAACCATAGGATTATACATGGTACAACACACTAGATGAAACTACATATGCCTTTCCCAAACGTCACAGATGATTCAACTCCCACAGTTTTTGTAGGTCACAAAAACAAAATGACATATTATGTACGTCAGATTAGTACTCACATGACAGACACTTTTTTAGATAAGTAGGTGTTGCAAAATTATGCACAATGACATATTTTGAGAGCTTTAGCAAAAGTGAGAGAGACAGACAAAGACAGAGCATGAGCGCTACAACAGGATATTTTGTCACTATGGTTACTGGCAGCAGATACGGATCTTGACTTCTTTACACCATGCTGTTCGCACTCAAGGCAGAGTGGCTGTAGTACTGTCAGGACACCTCTTGTAATTTAGAGAAACACTTTGCACAAGAAGTTCCATGTCTTCTGGATCAGCGTGATTTTGGAACCTCTGAAGAAAAACATTCCACCTGTGAGGTAAGTCCATCCTCTGGGGTTATGGGGAATTATTTACTGTGAAATGTGAAATAGATTAGATACTGCGTTGGAAATGCCGGTAGATAATACCTACAGATGCGTATGCATATATAAACACACACACACACACACACACACATTTATTCCAGGGTGAAAGCAAATCAGCAAATACATTTACAACACCCATGTTTTGAAACAAACCACTATTACAACTGAGCCTTACTGAAATAAGTACAAATAGAAAAATATGGATCTTCACGTAGCTAAATATGTTTATACAACATCGTTTTGGTAAAGATATTTTAAAATAGAGTTGCTGCATATTTGTCCCACATATCCTTTTGTCTGCATTAGCCAGGAAACGGTTTTTCCCCTGCACCACGTGCGCGAGGAGATAGCTATAGCATGAGTGGGTTATAATTTTGGCGCAAACATATGACTTTCCAGCTGCCTACCATTTGAGACTGAGCACCCTGGGGAAGTGGACTTCCTCATCTACAATGTCATATCTGAGTGTTTTCGTGGTACAGGTGCGAGAGTGTTGCAGTTGCAGACAGAATCACAGCAAAGCCTTGTTATTCAGTGACTTCCTTCATATCACTTAGGGCTACAGACATCATCAGAAACCCCCCAAATATACCCTGTGAGTCAAATATGCAGACTACAGTGGGGAAATGTTATATTTTGTAAATGGATTGTCCTTACCACCTCTGCTTTTTTCCCTTCTTCATATATAAAAAATCTAGAAATGCAACCTAAAATTAATATAAGATCAGATCATCAAAACAGATACACACTGGACTTAATGCTTAAACTTTCATCTTTTTTTTCAGAAATGTGAAGGTTTGGTTGTGGTTGGTAAAACTGAGGCTAACATAGAGGCAGAGTTTGGGCTCAAAAAGAACCACAAGGTGGCAGCATACACCACACAAACTGTTTGTGTTTGACAGGTTGTGCCCTCTGACTGCTGTTCACCTACCTGAAACAGTTAGTTTTGGTTAACTGAGAGAAAACAAAAAAAACTACAGTAACTACACCTTCATCTTTTGTGAGAGCTGTGAATATGAGAGCATCACATTCAAATTTGTTTTACATCATTTCACAGTGTAAGAAAACATTATATTGTTGCCATGTTGCTGTATTTTTTTTAAACGAAACTGTTCTTCATTAATACAAAAAAGTGCACATAAATACAAAAAAGGCTTAAAGAAATGTTTAATGGAGCAGGAGACTGGAAACTGTAATGACATAGTGCGACTTCCTCTTTGAAAGCAGTATATTAAACATGTGCCAAGATGTAAGTTTCATTTCATCATAAATGAATATGTTTTATTACACATTTTAAAATTCACAACATGCCTGATTTAGTTTATTCTTACTTTAAGCACAGTATGAGGGGGAAATGCACAGTGAAATGTAAATCTTTGAGTTTAATTATAACGTTAACACATTCTTTCTTTTTGCAGTTACTGGTTGCTAAAATATGATGGGTTCTACCACTGTGCCTGTGACCTCCACCCTCTCACTGAACAACGACTCCAGCTGTTACACCCTATACACCCACCGGGACAAAGCCAGAGTCCTCATGCCTCTGTTCTATTGCGTTGTGTTCATCGTGGGGCTGTTCGGTAACTGCCTTGCCCTCCACGTCATCCGTCCCAATCTGAAAAAGATGAACTCTACCACCTTGTACTCCCTCAACCTGGTCATCTCAGACATCCTCTTTGCCCTCTCGCTGCCTTTGAGGATTGCTTACTATGCACTTGGCTTCCACTGGACTCTGGGTGAGTGGACGTGCAAGATCTCAGGCCTCATCTTCTATATAAACACCTATGCGGGGGTCAATTTCATGACCTGCCTCAGCATAGATCGTTTCATTGCTGTGGTCTTGCCTCTGCGCTATGCCCGACTCAAAAAAGTCAAGAACGTGTACTACATTTGTGTTGGCGTGTGGATGCTGGTCCTGGCGCAGACCCTCCCCCTCCTCAAAATGCCCATGACGCACATGGAGCATGATGGCTTCATCACCTGTATGGAATACCCCAACTTTGAGAAGGTTGACCATATTGCCTCTATACTGATTGGTGCCGTCTTTATTGGTTATATCATTCCTGTGGTCACCATCCTGGTGTGTTACTCTGCCCTATGCTTCAAACTCCACTTAAGAACCAAAGCCAACCCTTTGAGAGACAAGTCTGGCCGGAGCCGCAAGGCCATCGGTGTGATCTGCTGTGTGTCCCTGGTGTTTGTTGTTTGTTTCAGCCCCTATCACATTGACATCCTGCAGTACATGATGCGCAAGCTAGCATCGAGCCCCGATTGTGCCGACCTCACAGCTTTTAACATATCATTGCACGTCACCGTGTGTATGATGAACCTCAACTCCTGTTTGGATCCATTCATCTACTTTTTTGCCTGCAAGGGCTACAAGAAGAAACTTCTGAAGATCCTGAAGATGCAGATCAGCATGTCTTTCTCCAGCGCAGTGAGGACATCACCTGAGGGTTCCTCCAAGGATGTTATCGAAGGCATCAACATGCAACTCAACAATTCTGTGTGTACACACAGTGACCGACTCACAGAAAGGATATGATAACAGTAAGAATGAACTGAAGAGGTTAGACATCAGAGTAGCACAAAATGAGAACATTATGCCTCAGTTTTAATCAGGACAGGGTCTCAAGCAAACCGCAAACACACTCCTCATGAACCAAGGCAGCTACTAAGCATCAGGATTAAATTAGTGTCCACAAGTTTGTTTTTTTTTAAAGAACATCAACAAAATGACAGTTTACAAAAATTTCAGCACCTGTTGTGTTTAGAGATTTAATATTAGTGAATTCCTCAAAAGCAGAGTTGAGGCAGCTAAGGGCAAAAAGGAAGATACATCAGAGTATGTTTTTATGCATAAAAGACAATGAACATGTGAAACTAACATATTTCTAAAAGTAATATACTCTGAAGCTCTGAAAAGTAAAGTTTAAAATAACAAGTCAGTGACATTACAACTAATCACAGCCTTTATGAACTGAAATGTTTCGGTAGACACAGGTATGAGCTTCATTCCAAACGGAAATCAAAGTTCTCTCAAGTTCCAGTTATGTACAGTTATAATTAAAGCATGAACTGGGCTGCACGCCTGTCTGAACCTGACCCGTGCCATGCAGACGGGTCCCGTCAGGCTCGATTTGGGTAGCCACACACTAGGTGTAATGTCTCAGAAAAGTGATAAAGTGGTCACTTATTGCTGTATGTTAGCTGCTTTAGCATTCACTGACTCAGGCTGAAACTAAATGAGAACAGTGATGCTATTTTATTTACTAGCTTAGACCGTTTTCTGAAGTGGTATCAGAATACAAAATTTTCAGTTTTGTTTTAAATTCAGTGTGGCAGCATTATGCTTATTAACATCAGATGTTATTTAACTGGACCACAAGGCTGTTTAATCTGCACAGTTAATCAGTTCTGTTTGTGCTAAGGCATCTCCAGCAGCTATTTTATGTTTCATGTGGTATTTTGAAGTTTCAAATTCAATGCTTTATAATTCTATGTGCGTAACCTGCGCACACTAAACACATATGACAGGTTGCATGAACAATTCTGATTGAATTTAGTAAATATTTCTGTCTGTGTGAGAATTTGCCAGAAACAATGTATATTTTTAACATTTTGTCTGCGCAGCTGGCAACCACCTCCGAATCATAGTCTGCACTCCACTCCATCCTTAACGCCTCATGTCACAGAGAGTGGTTATAAGATTGTTCAGCTATGAGAGATGGTGAATAATTTAAGATAAAATGTTTTCCGGTGCTTGAAAGTTGTTGTAAATGAGGCTGTTCCTTTGCTTAGTCTGCTAATTGGTGATTTGATATCCATTGTAAAGTTCAAACATATTGGATTGATAAGAGAAATAAAACATTTTTATATGTGCAAGAGTGAATGTTATTATGGTAGTGTACATATCGGATATTCCCAATTATTTACTTTGGAATACAGCTATGCAATTATAGAGAGTGAATAGCCAGCAAAAACAGAATCACTATCTTCCCTCATGTATCACCTTCATACATCTGGCAGCCTCAACAACAGATGGTACAACAGATATGACTGAAAACAAAACCAGACAAAGCAGTGGAGGAAAGTTCAGCAGCAAAGTGCATCAGCAGAGCCAGTGGCAAAGCTTGAGCACTGAACAGAACGCAGTATGTTTTCTCTATAATATTCCTTGTAGTAAAAGTTTCAGCTTCACAATGACAGCAAGGTGGTTAACCGAAATAAATATATGTCCTAAGTTGCAGAAACTTTGATGTGGAAACTTGAGCACAATAGTAAAACCCCAGTACAAATAGTCGGTGAATTGTCTAAGAACTGAAATCAGTTGTCTTTGTCACAATAGAAGGGCCCAAGGCAAACATGGCACAAAGACAAAGACCGGGATCGTGGCAGGCCTGATAATCAGTTAATTCAGTTATTTTTTAATTTTGCACTGGTGATTACACACCTGCACACTCACCCACACACAACTGGAAACTTTACGTTTGATCTCAGTGTTTTTATTCCGGTGCCAGGAAACTGTAAAAAATGATGAAAAAATGTTAATCAGTATTGAAAGTAAGTTTATTTAATTAAGTTACTTACTAGGTACTTTTCAGAGTGAGATTAATTAAGGAGTTTACACTATAATCATACGACTTTATTGCTCCTGGTGGGAAGTTCACAAACTACCCAGCAGTGTTCATACAGTATAAGGTAGTTAACATTAGCTCTTCCTTTACTAGCTGCAACATTAACTGTGCTGTAAGCAATAATTAGAGTCCAGTAATATGATATATACATTAATGTTCCATTCTGCATAATGATTACTTTCATTCTTAGTACTTTCAGCATATTTTATGCTAATAATTGTACTTTTACTTAAGTAACAATTTGAATGCAGGACTTTTACTTGTATTTTTACACTGTGGTATTGTTACTTTTGCTTAAGTAAACAATCTGAGTACTTCTTCCCCTACTGCATATAATTGCCATCTGCTTTATAACAGTATTTTTTCCCATCGCATGATTTCTTTACAGATTAAAGAAAAGTGCTTGTTTTAAAGGGACTGGCTGGAAGTGTGGGAGAGCTCACTGTCTTTACACCTTGTAGATCTGAATACATCAGCAACATATATCAATAATATCAATGTATTGTCCAGAAAATGAGCGCAGCACCTCAACATCCCCTCTCTATCTCTGAATTTGTTTTAACTTGAGTCCCTCTTCACTCAGAAATGTGGCTTCCTCACTGTCGCTTCACACTGGGACCTCGATGCGCAGCCTTCTGGTGTCACTCTGACACCAGAAGGCTGATTTTATTTCTCTGATGAACTGGGAAAACTTCCTCTGCACTCACATTAAATCTCAGATCAAGACGTATATGCACAAGCAGGATTTTAAACTTCTCAATCAGTGAAATGGAAAATAAGTTATTTTAAGATGTTCAGTGAGGTAATTACGCTTCTTTGTAGATGCACCATGTCAAACACAGTTTATTACTAAGAATTGTTATATGTCTTTAAACATGTATGAATGTAATCTTTAACTTCTGATTCAGTAATATAATTTTAAACTATTCTACTCTATAAATGTGTAAACTCAGCTTAGATAAGCAAAAATGTTAACCAGACTAGAACTTCTTATTTTGCAGCTCATGTTAACTTATTTTGTGCAGCAATTGCTACAAATAAATGTTCATATAATAACGTGGTCCTGCAATAACAAGAAATGAACAATGCCAAAGGTAAATATCATTACTAGAGCCAGACTGACAGTTTGTAGTATTTCTACTCAGCCTCTAGAGGGCAGTGTATCACATGGTAAAGAGGTAATGCAAGAGATTGTACAATGGATTTTTCACAGGCATCATACATCTAATCTCAGAATGGACAAACACAAAGAAAGAAGGACAATTAATTATTTTGTTCAAATTTTTACTTTTGTTTGTGATAATAAATAAGAATGGCAGAGCATAAAATTAAATATTTAAAACATTTTTTTGAAAAAGCCATAACCTGATGTCTAGATATTCACAATCCACTTACACTGTTTATCATTCGAGTGAAGAACTTACTAAGGCAACCACATGACAAGTATCAAAGAGAGGAAAACAACACACAGACTGTTGTCATAACAACATATTGCAATGAACACAAAGTACCATCTGGTAGGAGACTTTTAAGACACATTGAGAGGACAAGCCGATGGATAATTATTTCCCAGGAATAAGAATTAGCCTGAATGGGCGGCTTCCATCTAAACATTGTGCCTAAAATACATAGGTAAAAATCATGTAGTGAACATGGAAAGAGGTTCAGCATGTAAGCTGACTAAATGGCAAAAACCTGTATCCTCAAAACAAAATATATAACAAATAGAACTGTTTATGAAGGTTAAATAGAGTAGACAGTGGAGAGAGGTGAGGGGACACAAACAGGAAATGCTCTGTATTTCATAAGGTCTATAAATGCAATGAAAAATACCAGTTAGGAGACCAGGGGGGAAAGTTTTGATTGCGCAATGTTCTTTGAGCCAAACATCCTAATTTATGGTTGTTATCAGCTCACACACACATTAATCTGTATTCAATTCGGGTCCAGACTGACCTTGAGTGTTTCACCTGAGGTATGCGCTTTGCATCCATTAAGTCGACGTGGTATAAAACCATCTCACAGCATCAGCGTGAAGTGTCTATTACCACCGTCTTATTTCCTGTTTATATGGCAACTGCCTCAACATCCTGTTTTTAATTACTTCTCTCCAGCAGCAGATGCTTCTCACAGCAACCTGCTGTGGATTACTCCCCTGAGAACTAATGTGCTGTGACAGACCCCACTTTTCCAATCAATAACTCGCCCTAAATCTGCCATCTCTGTGCCTGCCAAACACACTCCCACTTCTAATGGCACATCATTTTCTTTAAGGGGGTGTAATTGCAGACTTTGGAAAGCTATAGCCCTTTGTGTTCCGACTACGTAGATACTGTAAAGGAATCTAAAGTACAGAAACTACAGCCCACAGACAGCACAGGAAGTGATGGGGGCTTTACACTGCGCTCAGTCTCACCACCATTTCCATCATTTTACCATTTAAGAAAGCATTCACTTCCCTGTTTTGGCTGTTAGAGCAGTATGCTCAGATAACTCGCTGCGCCGCTTCATAAACCTGTTGGTGCAAGCTCGTCAGGATGTTTTCTTGATTTCTGTGGTAAGTTTTTTATTGTACAGGCAAAGCTAGCTGATCTGTTTGACCTTTAACAGGGGGACAAGTCACTTTAGCTTTTGTGTTTTATAGCTACTTGCTGTTTGTGTGTTTTAGAAGAATCCGTTTTAAATCACGTAGTGTTTGTTGTTCAGGTTAACTGTTTTTGTTTTTTTTTAATGATCACTCACAACTCACATTATATACAATAGACAGTACAGAACAATAAGAATGCCATTTTTAGTACGGAAGTCACATGATTTCTTATCAAGACACAGCATCTCACTTCCACATTTGTACCCCCACCACAGTTAATTATTTCTATCCACACTGTAATGTACAGAAGATACACAGCATATTTGCTCTTTGCTTATATGTTTAATTGTAAACAGGCACGTCTAGCACTCATTATCTAGTTGCCTTCCTCTGTGCAGCTGCAGCATTTTCAAAAATAAGTATTCAAATGATCAAGCAGCAGATTCTCAGAATGTAAAACAGACAGGTCCATATTTAGAAGCAGCCTCTGGCCATTTCAGTTCCAGTGTTTTTTCTGCAAACCAATTTGTTTCATACATTTTGTTCTCATTTGAACACAGAACTTTGCTTATATTGTGAGCTGAAAAGAAGTTTATAAAGTTTTTTCTTTTTTGCTTTGTTTGCTTTTTTCTTAGAAGTTGACCTTCTGTGGAGTAATGAGGAATTCTTTCTACATAATGTTCAAAAGTAAGTTGCATTACCTAGTCTTGCTCATTTGTAACTTTAAAACTCATATAGTCAAAACTTTTATTAAAAAAGAAATTGTTACAATTTTGTAGCTGATGGTACGTTACAGAACTGCTCCTCTTAGATCTGATTAGTTCCACATGTGCCGTCTTCCAAAGAGACACAGTAGATGGCCAAAATACCCTTTTTTCCTCAACAAGACCTTTCTAAAAGCACACGACCTTTCAACATAAATGAAAGACTTCATGAAAATAAATGGCCAATAGACAGCAGAGGTTTGTGACACAGCAAAATAATTTAATGGAGACAATGTGTAATCATTAATTAACAGTGTTCTTTCTGCTGAATTCCATCAGTTTCACTATGCTGGATCTGAACAACTCCAACATGTCTATGGAGTCCAGGCCCGTGAGCCTGGAGCAGGAACCACTGCATTACCGCATGGCAGGCCTGATCTTCTACAGTTTTGTCTTCATCATAGGAGTCATAGTCAATCTCACTGCTCTGTGGGTGTTTGCCCTCACAACCAAGAAGAGGAACTCTGTCACTGTCTACATGATCAACGTGGCAGTGGTAGACCTCACCTTTATCCTTCTGCTCCCCTTCAGGATGGTTTACCACCACCAGGACTACTGGCCTTTTGGAGACATTTTCTGCCGTATCAGTGCTGCTCTCACCATTTTCTACCCCTGCATGGCTCTGTGGCTGTTTGCTCTGATCAGCGCTGACCGCTACATGGCCATTGTACAGCCAAAGCACATCAAGGAGCTAAGGAATGTCCCCAAGGCTGTGGTGGCAAGTTTGGGGGTGTGGCTCATGACTCTGGGCAGCACTGTACCCCTGATCTTTTCTGAGAATGACCCCGATCGCATCTCCAACTTCACCACCTGCATCAAAATGCAAGACATCATCTACATGCGCTACGACAACCCTGTCAACTTTGTACGACTCATTTTCTTCTTCCTGGTTCCCATATGTATGATGATCGGCTGCTATATTGTCATTGTGGATAATCTGATCCATGGCCGCACCTCCAAACTCAAACCTAAAGTGAAACAGAAGTCAATCCGGATTATCATCACACTCATTGTCCAAATATTGGTGTGTTTCGTGCCTTTTCATGTGTGTTTACTGTTCCCTTTGCTGGGGAATGGCATAGACGGGGGATTTCACACATGGGCAGTCTTCACCACATTCCTGATGAACATGAGCACAGTGTTAGACATTATTTTGTACTACATTGTCTCCAAACAGTTCCAGGACAGGGTGATCAGTGTGATTCTATACAGGAACTATCTGCGAAGCGTGAGGCGAAAAAGCAGGCACACACACACAGGCAGCATTCGATCACTAAGCAACATGAACAGCGCAATGATATGAAACAAGCGTCAAACTTTCATTTCAAACAGCACATCTACACTATAAGTCCTGTGCACGCTTTGGCACAATGTAACACTGAATGCATCACCATGTGCATGGTTTATTAGCAAAAGGATCAAAACTTGCAATTAATTTCCAAGGTGTAATTTACACTCACAGTATGGGAGTGCGGCTGTTGTGGCAAAAACATCTGTGTTCAGAGCTGATTGACTCACCCATGAGACTTGAGATGTTTTCTGTGCATCTTTGCTCTGGCAGACACAGCACGGGTGGCTGTGGCTCAGGTGTAACACATGCAAGCAAAAATAAAGCTTGCAATCATTTAAAACATAACTCACAGTATCTCAGTGTTGGCTTTGTTATTATGTAAAAACATTCAAACTCCTCTCAGTCATGTGAACCAAGAGCTAAAAGGAGCCTTAGAACCACCATGGGAGGAAACCAACAGGAAATAATGGTGGGCTCTTCATACATGCAAAGGTCGCTCCACCACACTGTATTTGCAACTTCACTTTTGTAACACCTCAGTGTTTCATTATGACTGAGCAAAGATAATTATAAATGCTGCATGAGGTCATGCAGATGAGATGCAGATGAAAAAGGTTTGTTTGACTGGTGCCACTTCTCTTTATTATGTTTTTGGGGTTTAATGCCAACCACTTTGTCCAGGACACAGTTATAATACACACCAGAGGTGTCCTGGAAGTTGCTGAAACTGTACTGTCCAGGTGATGGCAGCATGGCACAGCTAGCTCCCATTTACCTGCCAGAGCACATCAGAACATTGCTTTTCTTTACTTTTAAAGCAGGTAGTGCAAGATTTGTTGTCTCTCTGCTTATTATTAGATTTGAACTGTCATTACCAAAGCCAATATTTCAGTTTGGATTGTGTGAAATAACCAATCCACTTCCTCTCAGGGAAGTTAACTACAGTCACAACAGCTTCCTCAAGCAGGAATCGGACTGACGAGTGTTTTGTTGCGATGAAAACTGTATTGATTAGATGTTAAATGATTCAGACACTTGAAGTGCATTTACAGTAACATCCTGAAGAGATGTCAGAGAGGCTATTTACAAGATTTAAAGCAGCCTTAACCTTAAAAAAACAACCTTTTTTGGACAGAGAAACATTTGAGTCAGACTCTGCTAAAAGTATCATAATACAAGATCTAGCAATTTATCAACAATTTATTCCTCAAATGACAAGTGATGAGTTAGAAGGTGCTGAAAGTGTGACAGTTCTATCTCTGTAAAGAGACTGTTTAATTTAAATGAAAAAAAAATCTCCTGTTTGAATGTGATGGTTTTGAAAGCTGTCCTGAACAAACATCACCCGAGCTGAGATTTGATTTGGTGTTGCCAATTGCTAAAATAATCAAGTTAGTGTGTCTGTCACACCAGCACAGTCTTAACTGGATTAGACAGCAAGTCAGTGTAGCTGAGTAACTATGCAGTGTCAAGGCACCCTGTGGTGTAACCACATACAATATCAATTCCCAGAACAGTTATTGTACTGTGCTGTATTATACTGTGCATTTCCTTAATGAGATTCTGGTTTTATTCCTGTTTTTTCACACCTCTATAAACAAGCCCAGTTAAATTCTCACTGTTAATGTAGTGCAGTGTTAAAAGGATAAACTACACTGAGAGTCCATATGGCACTTCTCTGGTCTGTACTGTTTTCATACTGTAGTCAAGACATGACATTCAGCGGTGGTAGATTTACACTGTTTAATAAGAGGAGGCAGAGTAGAACTTACAATTTACATGGCATTCTGGGAACTGCAGTTCATCGTGATAGGTTTATTGGCTGGTGGACTACAAGTGGATTTATAACCAAGAGGTCGAAGGTCATATGAAACATCAGAGGGTCATCTATCTGTCCCACCTGTTAGCCATCAAAGAAAAACCAGCCACGCTGCTCACAGCAACTGGCATTTAAAACAATTAAGTTTCCTGTCAAGTCCCTGTGATGAATTATCCGGAAGCTTTACCCACTGTAATTCTAAATCTTCCCAACAAGTGCCTTTGTTGTAGAGAAATTAATGAAAACAAGATTGTCTTTCATAGGAGCTGATCTAACAGCGCGACAGCCAGCTGCTCTTCTTTGGGAATAAAAACAGTCAGCATTAAACACAGCTCAGACAAAATACTTTTTTTTCTACCACTCGTGTGGAAAACAAATCAGGCAGCGAGCGCAGTGGCCATCTGTTTTGTTATTTGATATGTGTGAATACATGTTGTAATGACTTTGTTTGCGAATCACTCTGCGCGGCAGAACACACAAGAGCTCTCGAAGTGCTGGAGTGTTCAAAGCTAATCATATAATTGGACACAATAGTCGATGACAAATGGAGACGCTTGGAGCCAGCCAGCTGGGGAAGTGAATATGTAATCATTGTAAAATCATATCATTTTTGCATATTTGAAGACAGCTTAATAGAGTTTGCATGTCAGCACCGAATCAAGTGATGATCAGAGACAGTTGTTTTTTTTTTTTTATTATAAATGTTGGACTATTGGACTTTATCACAATTAAAAATGTTTCTCAAAAGTTTGTCTCATATGTTGATTTGTGTTTCATGTTATTATGAATGTTGAAACTAGTTTGCGACAAATGATCCTTCTGAATATGAACATGGGAAAATAGCACAGCAGTAAACATGATGAGTGATACAGGAATGATTCCCGGTTTGTACGCCAAGGGGTTAAATAGTTACAAGTGTTGCATTAATGGTAGAAATTTAGAGCCACTCCAGGCGATAGTAGCACAGATCCAAATTCATTGGTGGAAAGTAACTAAGTACATTTACCCAAGTATAGTACTTAGAACAACTTAAAGTCGCCAATCAACCTAAGCTATATGTACTGTGGGATGAAGCTGGAGTACCCAGAGAGAACCCATGCAGGGACTGGGAGAACATGCAAACTACGCCCAGAAAGGCACCGGGTCGGTATTTTTACCTTGTGGCATTGTTACTTTTATTTAAGCAAACAATATGCGTACTTCTTCCACCACTGTCCAAACTTGACAAAACACAAACTAAACACTAACAACTAAGACTGCATGAAAATGGTGACAATTTATAGTATAGTATAGTAAAATTATACTAATTAGATTTGGAATATACTTGAGTTAAAGGTCTTCTGTTACCACAAGACTATTACTATAAATATATAGTAATATTTTCAGGTGACCTAATTTGAAACCCACATTTATACTAAATCCAGCCTGTGCCACGGAAACAACAGCAGAAACAGAATGTGTCTCTCCCTACACTTTTACTATACCATTAGTGCTCAGATTGTTCCTATTAGAAAGCACGAGGACATGAAAGAGAGCCCGTGATGTTATATAGATACTGTACACATCCAGCCTAGTCTGGGCCTCCTAGTATGGCATTAGCAACAAGCAGCTGCCTGCATTTACATCATTTAGCATTTCTCTCAGGGCACTTTAATACACTGAACCTCTCCCCTGGTAAACTTTACAATAGGATGTTGAAGGATAACCCTGGACTGCCTTAGGAAATGAGAGGCACATGTGTGGATGTAGCAGCGCAACAGTGTGTTTCCCCCCTGTGATGCTGAGCTTAAGGGCTGCACAATGAGACTAATGGATTCCTTTTGTGGACAAAACTAGGTTAAGCACATGAGCTATTGTTTTTATCTGTGGTAGATGTGTGATTGTTATGTAAAGTAGGAAGTGTGTGAGGTATTTCTTTTGTAGGTAGAGGATAGCTTTGCAGAGGTAATCTTTTCCTTTGGCAGTTGCACCCAACTTTCTGCATTGTCTTTCATCTCCATTAAAAGGAGATAATCTACTGCAAGAGTTTCAAATGCTACTAAACTGACTCCAATTGACCCTGCAGTCAGCAGAGAACAGTAGCAGAGGAAATGTATGGCCTTGATTACAGCTGTGCGTCTATTTTAGCAGACTGTTATGTTGCAGATTCACACACACAGACAGACAGTCACCATTAGCACATATAAATAATGTAAGGCCCTCATCTCTCTCTGTTTTTTTCCAACTCTCTACTCAGCTAAGTGCCTGCATGGAAACCTTGGCCTCCTCCTTGTCAGGTTCTCCATAGATTAGTATAAGATTTATTTTAAGTGTGCAAAGCAGCATGTTCTTGACAAGTGTTCCACTCAGTGCATGTGGGAATGTTTTTAATTTTATCATGTAAGTGGAATAGGAGCTCCAGTGGGGACTGTGTCAGGCCGCGTTAAGTTTGAATCTGGTCTCACTTCAGTTTCCACATGATCGGTATCGTAAGAGCAGAAGGAGAAAGCAATAGTACAAGATGGATAATGAGACACAAGTAAAGACAGTGTAGCTCCAGGACGCTGTCTCACTCAGGATGTCATTCTGTGAAGACACTATTATGAGATTCCACTTATGGCCTGGGCCATAGTGCAACATGCCAGTCAGTGATATTATGGCAGCTAAAGCTAATGCACTCATTTCAGCTGATGTGCATCTAAAGAAAGCTGACTGACAAATTGAATGTGAAAGCAGGTAGCGAGGAAGAGTGGAAGAGTTGTGTGCGCAGGACTCAGTGTTAGCCTGTGGTGTGTGTTTGTGTGGCAGGAGAGATGGAGAGGGAACAAGGGAGGGAAAGAATGAGTGAAGGAAAGAGCGAGGGGAGAGCGAGAGAGGCCTTTCACTTCCTCTGTGTGCACATCACGTCTCCTCTCCCTGAGCTCAATTACTGGATTGATACTCAGAGAGGAAACTTCATCATGTCGTACAGATGTCTTCACTGGGAGAAAGAGAGAGACAACGCATGCTGTCATTTGACATGACACGGTCTGTGTTCATTCAAACAAACAAAATGAGAAAAAGTTGGACTATAGGTTTCATTATAGTCCAATAACAAATACAGAGCGCCAGTGAAGACTGAAAACTCACAGGAGGTAAATACTTACTGACAGAAGAATGAACTGTGCCTGTTAGTTAGAGAATTTAACCATTTTACTGAGTGAATTAATCTAAAACAATAACTTGTAAACAATAATAATCTTTCAGTGAGCCATTCAGCCCCATCATAGTAAACATTTTTTATAACCCAGACAGCTCTATAAAATGCTTTAGGCATCACTGGGCTCGCCCATCATTAGTCAGTGCCTACGTGTAAATCTGAATAAAGCCACTGTGTTGGTGATGCTGTGCAGACACAAGCCCGAATCTATTTTATACTGTTTCCTTTCAAACGGTGACACAGGCAGAGAACACACTCCACAACAATGGCCATGTTTTGCTTTAATTTGATTAGGTTTTGTCTCAGCAAATGCCAAGTCCTGTTTTGCCTCAAGAACATATCTCATAATCACGTTCCATCCAGGCTGTGTCTTTCATCTAAATCTCACAGCCGTGGCTCACACCCAACTTTATTTCACTGCAAGGTAGAAAATAGCACACACACACACACACACACACACACACATACAGTACACATACACCGGGTGACGCACACACATACACACAGCCAACAAGGGGGAATACAATGACAAAAGCCTAGCTCTCTTCTCTGTCACATAAAGTGATGTTTAGTGTTTAGCTGTGTGCGCCTGAGGCGTGCGTGTGTGTGTGTGTGTGCGTGTGTGTCTGTCTGCAGGGCTCAGATCCATGTTGTTTGGTTTGCTTCTCCATTAAGAGAGCTGTAAAGGAGAGGGAACAGATGGCTGCTGGCCCGTTCTGTCCTGCATCCTCTCACAACTGCCACACTTCCTCTGCGTCCATTAATCTTCTCTCACTACTCCTGCAGCACAACTTTATTAAAACAACTCAGGAGAGAGCGAACAACAAGCCCGTGCAGCTGTCAGGAGCAAAAGACAGAACCATTCGTCCACAGAAGAACGGCCTCGGATTTCCAGACACATCTGTAAAACAGCTCGAGTAGAATCAGGTTGGCTTTGAAGCAGGCACTGCAAAGCACTTGCTGTTGTAGAGACACAATAAATGCTCATTAGAACACAGCTGGAACTGCTGCTGTTGCTGAGTTCATGGGTATAGTTTGTCAAACTTAAACATGAGGCTCCAGCTTCAAGCCTGGGACTACTGTTTTCTCCTGCTCTGAGAACATGTGGGAAATGCTGCGTAAACCTTGGATTGAATGCTGGCTCTGACTACAGAGAACCCCATAAACACAAAATCTACAAGCAGTCTGTCTGGTAAACTGGTAATGTGACAGTACATAGCTGTTTATCTTAGCTTGTTCTAAAAAAATATTATCATTATTACTATTGGCTAATTAGTGGGGAGTTATGGCGACTTTTCCACATACTGTAAACCACATAACACCTGATGTTACTGTTTAATCACAAACACAAGGACTAAATTTGTTGTTGATCGTTCTCACAGGAGGAAACACTGTATATTATTATTTAGGATGCTTGTGCAAATGTACATATACTGCACTGTCATGACAAATACTGTAGGAACATAGCTCTATTTGGCCTTGTGCTCTGTGTCCACAGCAGTCAGCGGCTAAATTGAAAAATCAATTCCAATTTAAATTATTGGAATAAAGAACTCCAGGAGCTGGAGATTTAAAAAAAATTCTTCTAGATCCCCTTTAATTGGGAAGTCATTTCTTCAGGGTATTCTAATGGTTCTGAGGGAAGATTGCAAAATAAAGTTGATGAGCTGGGGGTGGGGGTAGGGTCGGGGAGGGTTTAATAGCATGCACTTGTGTTTGTGTGTATTTGACTGACCCTGTGTGTTTTCTTTGCTCTGCCACGCAGTGTTCAGTCTTCCCCTCCCTTATGACAGAGGCACCAAATGAAGACTAATCCAGTGGGCTCACACACACTCAGATACACACTGCCTCATGCCTGTGGTCATTCGTCTCATCCATCTGCTATCTGGGGGGGCCCAACTAAATTAACCATCCCTCACTCACAATTGTAAAAATGTAATTGACTTAATATAACCAACCCTGGAGATTTGGATACTCTGGCGGTGAGTCATTTTGCAAACGCTTACAGATGCCACTTCAGATCTGAGGCAGCTTCAAAATCGGGATCAGTTTTATTGGCCAGGTGTGTTGAACACACAAGGAATTTGACTTCAGTACAGTGGTACTCAATGTGCATGTACAATCATTTTCAATAAGGCAATGAGTAAATAAGAGAAGATTGAGAGAACAAGAAAAAAAAAAAAGAACGTGCAAACAAGAAAAAGGAATGTGCATTAGGGAAAAAAATAAATAAAGTACTTATAATTATAACATATATGTATATACACACACTTTTGATGTTTTAAGATAGATAAATATACAAAGGTATATTTACAAGGTATTGCGCTGAGGGCTGTCATTTTGTTACACATGGGTTAAGTGGCCTGGGGGAAGAAACTGTCCTGGTATCTGGTTGTTTTGGCATACAGTGACCTGTAGCACCATCCAGATTGTGTCCAGGGTGTGAGGGGTCTGCAGTGATCCTCTCCGCCCTCCTTTTGACCCATGAGGTGTAC